ATTTTTTGCTACTAATTTTACTGCTTTTATTAACATTTGTAATAAAGTTCCTAGAATGCAACACTGTTCTCCTTTCTTTTTGCTGGTTCTCCTTCCAGGGATGGAGTAACACAGGAAATGTCAAAAAGTCCAGCACACCACCCAAATAACTCTTTAAAAAGTCAAGTACATGTTTGCTTTTGAAAATATGGTATAGGTAACTGCTGTGGAGTAGGCAGAGGAGTCAAGACACTGTTCATGTGAACTTCATCCTCCATTGTGAATTTGTGGTGTGATTAGTTCAGTGCCCAAAGGTATATTGCTTTAGAAGCTAGTAGCCTTATGCTTTAAAGTCTCATGGCATGTAAAGCTGTAGCAAACATCTACCTCCATTTTGATTGCTCCAAGGTGACAATAAACTTCAATCCCCTCCATCCACAACTATAGGTAGGTTAGTTAACATGTGATGCAGTATTTGTGATGTTGGTAGGAGTGACTGTCTTGCTTCTATCATTGCAGGAAAAACAAATGTCTCCATATACAAATAAGCTCCCAAGCTTTTGCTGATGCAGTCACCAAAAGTCTCTCATGAGAAAGTGCCCAGGGTTTGAGGGGCTGAGGCTTACTGCTTAACTGGAAGCCAAGGATCTGCCACAGCTGCGTTAGGATCAGTCTGCTCCTGGGACAGTAGCTCACAGTTTACAGTGCATCTCATGTGCAGAAGAGCTGGTTAGGACCAGCTTACTAAACTGTAGCCAGACCATGAACTTATTTGAAAATAGATGTGCCTGTTCTGTTGTGTTTGACCTCACTCCTTTGCCCCCTCAAGGCATGGGGGTGTCAGAGCCTACTCACCTGTTTTTATGATGCTGACACGCATCAGAGCTGCCTGCGATGTACGATGGTAATGACTCATTCCAGGCTGCACTTACACAGGAATGGGAGAAGGATACCTGCCTGAGAAAACACTGTGATTTTAGGGTGGTGGGCAGCTGCGACAGTCACTGTCTGCTGCCTGGTATTCAACAGCAATTTGGTAAAATCTTAGCTGGCCTGCAATAATCCAGTAAAGTGAGAAAAAGTGGAGGATGCTGTAGCAATGAGAAGATGTCTAAGAGGAGGTCTTAAGCTTTGTGCTTATAGTAATTATGTGCTACATGTAACTATTCTTATGCTGAATGCTTACACCTGTAAATGGAAAAAAAAAAGATTTAAAGGAGGTACATGAGAAATGAACACATGAAAATCAAATAATTTCATAGAATCATAGACTGGTTTGGGTTGGAAGGGACCTTAAAGACCGTCTAGTTCCAACTCCAGCCTGGCCTTGAACACTTCCAGGGATGGGGCATCCACAGCTTCTCTGTGCAACCTGTTCCAGTCTCCTCTGCTATGGGGAAATGTTGAGAGAATTGAGCTTGTTCAGCCGGGAGAAGAGAAGGCTCCGGGGAGACCTTATAGCCCCTTCCAGTACCTGAAGGGGCTACAAGGAAGCTGGGGGGGACTTTTTACAAGGGCCTGTAGTGACAGGACAAGGGGTAATGTGTTTAAATTGAAAGTGGGGAGGTTTGGATTAGATATCAGGAAGAAAATCTTCCCGGAGAGGGTGGTGAAACACTGGAACAGGTTGCCCAGAGAAGCTGTGGATGCCCCATCCCTGGAAGTGTTCAAGGCCAGGCTGGATGAGGCTTTGAGCAACCTGGTCTAGTGGAAGGTGTCCCTGCCCATGGCAGGGGGGTTGGAACTGGATGGTCTTTAAGGTCCCTTCCAACCCAAACCATTCTATGATTCTCCATGAAGAACTTCTTCCTGATATCTAATCTAAATCTCCCCACTTTCAATTTAAATCTGTTACCCCTTGCCCTCTTGTCCTGTCAGTACATTTCCTCCTGTCACCACATTTCCTCCTGTCACCACACTATTTCCTCCATTTGACCATGGCAAGGAAAACCAGGCTGGGGAATGATTATTTCTTTGGACCAAGCAAAAATCTAAAGGCTTGCAATAATGGCAGAAGACTCAAGCAAGGTACTAATTTTGTGCAGTTTTAAGCATGGTGCTTAGAGTACCCTTTTCTAACCTGGAGAATGGTGTGTCCGTCATCACGCCATTCCTGGATGCAAGGTGCTTCTGTGACCCTGCTCTGCACCACACCAAACAGGCCCTGCAAGGCACGGCCAGTGCTCAAGGAGCTTTCAGACATGCTGTCACCTGCCATTTTCTGTATGATAAAAGCCACTGATGGTGCAGTGTAGCCTTACCTCCACTTATGCAGAAAGACAGAGTTTATGTTGAAGTACTGGTCTAATTCAAAAGTCAATTTTTAAAATATTCCCTTGATCAAGAAAAATCATGATTAGTTTGTTCCAGCCAATAGTTCAACCCATTTGGAAATTAACCAGATTGCACAGTGATCTGACAGCTCACCCCTCTGACCCCATGGTAACAGAGGGTAGATGTCTCCTAAACCCAGCTGCTCAGCTGAAGTTTCTGTTGGGCCAGGACTGAACTTTCCAGCACTTATGTGTTGAAGAAAAAAATAATTCAGCTGTCACCACACCCTTGACCCTGGAAAGTACATGTTATGCCTTGCGACACAGCTGTGTGTGACTTAGGAAAAAAAATGGACTGTGTGACAGATGGGGACAAGTCATAGAAGAGAAAGAACCCAATGCCAGAGGTCCTAAGCTTTCCCAGGTTCTTCAGCATGGTCACAAAACAGCTTGGCTGGCAGCACAAAAGAAAAATAATGGTGGTACAGGTTGATAGACTTAATTCTTGATGCCTTCAGCAAGGAGCGGTGTGTCCCCTTCCAGCTGTAATAAATTAACTGCCAATCAGAGGTGCTGCAGTCCTTTGAGGCAGTAAATGTTAGGCTTGTTTCCAAAGGAGATCCGCTAACGAGGTGCTAAGCAGCTCTGCAAGGAGCAGTGACAAATTCTCATGCTCTGAGGGACTGTACTGAGTTGCTCTTGTGTTGTGACCTTGATTGTTTTTAATTTTGAGTGGCTGAATCATCACTTAACCAGGTGGCATTAAACGATGCAAGAGCTGGTAATGAGATGGGTACCACTGTGGAGTTTAAAGGTGGGCAGCTCTTGCCAAAGGTTGTGGTTTGGGGAATTTGGTGGTGGTTGGAAAAAAGTTGTGAAGTCAACAGCCTCTTCAGGTGAGAGTTTGTTCTTAAGAAATTATGTTTTCTTTCTGTTTGATAAACTTCTGAAGGAAGAAGGCTTTGTAATTTCTGTATTTGGTATAAGGCTGCTTAAGGTGGCAGCCTTAACAACAAATTTTTAAGAACAATTTTTTTAATTTGTTTATTGTGCTGGTTTTAGTCAAGACAGAATTATTTTTGTCATAGTAGCTGGTATGAGGCTGCATTTTGGATTTGCTATGAGAATAGTACTGATAAGGTGTCTTTTTAGTTGGTGATAAGGAGTGTTTGTACCAATTTAAGGACACTTTCAGCTTTTGATATTGTATATGTCTTCCCACCTTTCTTGCCTCAGGCAGTGTGTGGGGAGGACAGAGTTTAGACAGTTAACCAAAGGGGTATGTCATTCTATAGAATGCCACATTCAGTATCTAAACTGGGGTTGGGCTGTGGGGGCCATAGTGTTGTTCATTCGGTAGTTAGTTGGTGAGTTGGTTGTTTTTCTTGGTCGCTGTCTTGCTCATGGAGCTCGCTTGGACTCTGCTGCAATTGCTCTCAGGCTACATCTCTCACTACTTGGGACCTGGCTGTGTATCAGTTGGTGGGTGGTGAGCAGTTGTAGCAAATGTCTTAGTTTCATTACCTATTATTAGTAGCATTGTTATTATTTTATTAATATTGGTTTCACTGTTTTATTTGTTTATATTCAACTACTAAGTAGTTCCTATCTCAATCCATGAGCATCCTTGTCTTTTTTTCCTCTAATTCTCCTTCTCCACTGGAGGATGGGGGGAGATGAGTAAGTGGCTATGTGGTACTTTATTGCTGGCAGATGTTAAACCATGACATTTACTTGTGCAGGCTATTTTTGTGGGCCTTAGAAAGATAAGCCTTTGAAAGTCTCAAAAAGAACTTTTTATTGTCCTTTTAAGCACTTAAATTTGATATCTGATTTAGTTCTTCCCAATATCTGGGTAGAGATTCTCATTACCTAAAACCCACTGATGATTAAAAATTGAGATTAATTCTGTACATAAAGAGTTCTGCTATCTGTTTTCTGGTTGTTTTGTGTTATGCACTGAAGAGTAGTAGGTGCTATACTGTACCAGAGGCTTTATGTCAGTTGTAAGTGATGGGACCTGCTAGTATGGATGCAATACCATACAAAACGGTACTAGTGCATCTGTAGTAGCCTCATGTACAGTGTGCTGAGCAGAGCAGTTCCAGTGTCTGATGTAAAACAAGGCTTCTCCTCTTCCCATAAATCTTGTTCCTGGTTCTGGCCTGTTGCCTTCCAGAGGTGAGGAGACCTATTTGAAGTGGCTTCCAGAAGATGAAGTTCTCTTCTGTTGTTTGTACTTCAAACATGAATATCTAGCTCTGGTTCTCACAAGGTCATCATTGCAGAAACTGCTTAGGTTTTTTTCCTGGGTAAGTTCAATGAAGCTTCCCTGCAAGGCTTCTGAACACTTGTAGGTATCCTGAAGCCTAGTTTGCTTAACCTTTCTCCTTAATAGCAGTTTTCTTTTGATACTGTGTCAGAAGTCCTTGCTCTTATGTTCTACTTTCTCTCATGAAAAGTTTGGGAAGCCTAGCAGATGGCTGACCTGATGCTCTGACTAAGCTTGTAGATGCCTCTTGGCTGACAGAAACTTTGTCAGATTCTCCCAGAGCAGCAGCCCGACTCATCTGCTCCCTCAGACAAAAAGTATGAACAACGACTCAACTTTCTGAGGGATAAAACTGACTTCTAAGGAATTAAAAAGGCAATGAAAGGATAGGGAAGAAAAGTTAAATACTCAGTTTCTGTGTCTGATTTGTTTGAGGTTTTAATTATTTTTTTTTTTAATACTAGTTTGATGTTAAAATGTCTGAACATGGGAAGAAAACCACAAAGCTCCTCCTTATGCCAAAGAAAACCAAGTCAGCCAAGGCTGGTCTGCAGTTCCCGGTGGGTCGTGTCTACAGGCTCCTAAAGAGAGGGAACTATGCTGACAGGATTGGTCTTGGTGCTGCCATCTACCTGGCTGCGGTGCTGGAGTACCTGAGCGCGGAGATCCTGGAGCTGGCAGGAAATGCTGCATGGGAAAACAAGAAATCCAGGATCCTGCCCAGGCACATCCAGCTGGCTGTGAGAAATGATGATGAACTGAACAAGCTCTTCTCCTGTGTGACCATTGCTCAGGGTGGGGTGTTGCCAAATGTTCATCCTGAACTTCTTCCTAAGAAGACCACCTCGCTTAAGCCACCCCATGAACATGTCCAGTCACAGGAGTTCTAGCTGCCACCAGGATCCTGACCTTGTGGTGGTGTTAATGCTGGCTTCCTTCCCAGTTTGGTTTTTTGTGCTGGTTGGCATTTCTGGTGTAAATTTGTGTGTGTATGGCTAGTTTGGTTTCCCTAGCTATGTCCTTCAAATTAAAGTCAACTCTGAATAAATAAATGTGTCCAAAGGAGTCATGTCCATCTTACTCCCCTCTGGAAAATACTTTCTGCACCAAACAGTGGCAGTGCTGTTATCTAAACAAACCTGCTCTATGGTCTTTAAAGCTCGTGTCTCTGTGTGCATGGCTGGAATCTTCTTATCCAGTGTGTGTAGAAGTCTACTTCATCTGACTGCCTCGGACCTCATTGTGGGCACAGTTAACTAATTGGGGTTAGTAGATGCACCTGAGAAACTTAAACTGAACTGCCTTATAATAATGCTAAAGCTGATGAATCTAACATTTGGATACAGGGGTAGGACTATGCTGTAACTTCAGGCTGTCACTGCGCATACCTTGGTCCAAAAATGGTGTTGGAATTGTGATGGAGTGCAATCCAAGGAGTCATCTACAGACAGTATATAAACCTTGTCAGACCTTGAGCTTTATAGATCTTCTAGAAACTCTTCCCAAGAATTAATCCAAATATAATTTCTACCTCTCTGGTACTGAGAATCATCTTGATCCAGATCAAGGAAACCTGTGTGTTAAAAGGCAATCCAGGAAGCAGCCCTTTCCAGGACCTTCCAAAACTTGTCTTCCACCTAATCAGCTTGAAAGCTACCTAAGCCCTATTAGATTTTTTTTTTTCTTTTTCATTCTGGATTGTAACATTATGGTGCACACACGCTAGTATTAATGTGTTTGCTGTGCTGCAGATGATGTTTTTTAATGGCTTCACCAGCAGGATGTCACTAAAGAGCCTTATAACGGTACTATTTGGTGTTTGAATTGCTCTGTTCATGGCACATAACAGGAGGGCTGTAGTGCCTACCAGGTTCAGATATATTAATCTGAGCAAACAAAAGGGTTCTTCAGAGAACCACCTCAAGATTGACCCTACCGGTCCAGGGCTTGTAAGCCTCTGTTTCCCATGTCTGCCCCATAGTAATCCATGCTGTGCTACTGCTTTCTCTAGCACAGATCAAATATCTCCCTGGTTTTCTGGCCTTGTAAAAATTGGGACCTTCTGAAGAACTGGCTGCAGAGGGTTTGCCTCTTTCTATAGGCAGGCTAGAGAGTTTAAATGAAGGGAGAGAAGCCAGGAATGAGGAGTTGAAGGACTGCAGTCAGAGGACTTCTGTATATGAGACCTCTACCACGTGTGTAAGCTGCAAGCACCTACTAGAGGCCAGGCTGCAAGAAGGCAAAGTGAAAAGGATCTGTTGGTATCGGGTCAGTCCCAGTATAACTGACTGCTAGAGCAATGGAGATAAATGGTATGTAGTGTGGGTACTGGGGGCAGGCATTGCTTACTGTGAGTGTGGTGACCTTTGGCTAGAGATCTAGAGGGTGAAATGCTGCTGACCTGTTCCATAAACCAATTCCTCTGTCTTGGAAAGCAACAGCGGCTCTTTAGGGGGCTGCTGGGTGTTTTCCTACAGCAGTGCTAACTGACACTGATCGTATGAGCTGTGTTTGAAGAAAAACAGTCCCCTGTTCCTCTGTCAGGCTGGTGGTGATGTTTCATGCTGCATTGGCTCAGGGGCTGTCTCTTGGCCTGTCTGGGCCAGCTGCCAGCGGCATGTGTGTCCCTGCATCAGCGTGGGCTTGTGCAGCTCCTGCCATGCTACACCACTGTGAGCCAGGCTGCTGCTGGGCTCAGGTGTTAGAACAACTTCTCTTTTGCTTCTTGAAACTGCAAGGGAGGGGAGAGGCGTTGCCTTTGGCAATGGCTCACCCTCGCTTTCTTGGCAAAACCCAACAGATGAGAGTAAACTAGAGGAATACTGGACCAAGGAGAGGGCACTGATGGGTCTTCAGTAATTAGAGCTGACCTATAGACATGCTGGTTCCTGAAATACGACTTGCTGTGGCTCTTCTGTTCTCTGTGCCCACAACTACAGCTCTTCTTTTGCACTTCTAAATGTAGAACAACCAGTGCATTCGTTCCTGCTTCTTTTTGAGAAGTCTCAAGACAATTGAAAAGATAGTGTCCAATGTTAAGAGACCAGTTTGGGGGAACTAAGTGATTCTCCCAGTTCTGTTTCTCTCATGCAGCTGTGGAGCCTGTTTTGTCTTTCTTTTGAAGATACATTATGCATATGTCAATGGGGTACTTTTAATCCTTGATTAAAAAAAATCCCGTCTCAGTTTAAATAAGCCATAAAACATACATCTGGTCTCCCAGCATATCCTCAGCCCTGTTCATTACTAGGTTGTGTGCTACTCTACCCCAAACAAATACCTTCACCGTACGTGAAGCATGTGGTTTGCGAAGGCTGCCCTAGCAGTTGGCTCTGCTCCTGTTGCCAGATTCCACTTCTTCCTTGGTCTCTCTTCCTCAGCTCTCCTTTGTGTCACAACTTGTGTACTTCTTCAGCTTCAGGGGCAAATTTCTTATTAACTAGCTAATGTTCATTGACTATTTTGAGGCTGTTGAGTGTTAGAACTACTGGAAATCATTGTTTTGTTTATACAAGCAGCTCATTAGACTCCCAAACAAGGGGTTATATGAGAAGTGTGAGTGTGAGAGAATGGCACAACAATTTCCAGCATTGCAATGAAAAGTTCATTATTTCCAGCCTGTTCCAACCCTCTGTGTGGCTTTCTTTGCAGTGCTGTGCATAGCATCCCTGAGAATATTTTAACCAGCAGTGGTGGGGTTTCTTAATCATTCTACCCACAAAAAGACAAGTTCCCTCATACTCAGCGAGTATCCGTTTTAACATTTATTATGCCTGCAGCAACTTGGCAGCTGGGGAGAAGAGTCAGTCGTACTCTTAGAAACCTATAACCAATGCACCAGCAAAATGCTCAAGCTGACCCTGCGTTATCTTCCTGCTCTGATCTGCCTTGAAGGCAGGGAATGGGGCATGTGGTTGCTAAGCTGAGTTAGATTTTAAATGCATTTGTCAAAGCGGCAGACTCAGAAAAAGCATTCACTGCATCAACTTGCTAGCTGCATCCTTGGTCAGTGCGAGCTCTCTGCCTGCCAAGACAAGGAAGGAAGGCACACACGTGTTCTCAGGCATTGCTTGATCTGGGTGTACTTCTCTTCTTCCTAAACACCAGAATTTAGGTGTCTTTCTACCCCCCTGGTCCAGGAGGGTTTTATGAAACTGCCTAAGGCTCGATTAGGCCACTATACTTTCTTTTGGACATGCTGCTGTCAGCCCAAGGCGTTAGCAAGCTCTCAGCCCGTGAGTACACTTCCAGGTATCATGCCACGTCGTGATAAAAGACAGTCAACAGGCTTACCTTGTGTAATGCAGAATGCAAGAGAGGTGCAAGTTAGTAAGCTGAAAATAGCTGTCCTTCATCTAGGTCAGGGGAGAAACTTGGCTCTTTCCC